AAAAAAAAAAAAAAAAAGCACAGTGAGGTAAAAAGACATTAATGGAGGAAAAATAATGGGGATAAATAATTGGGTGCTAGGTGTAAAGAGAATACAAAGAGGCTGATAGTTGAGGAAAAAGGAAAATAGAAAAATGGATTAATGGTGGAGATGATGAACTGACCCATTTCAGCCAGAGTGAAGACTAAGAGGTTCATAGGCAACATTCTCTGTAATTGTGCATAACTCTGAAAGGAGACAAGTACTTGGGTGACCAAGGAGGTAAGTTGGGCTGACTGTAGGCCACATGATGTTGATTTTTCTGCCCTGTCGCCAAGCTCTGACTTAAAGGGGCAGAGGTTAACAGGTTATGAGGATACTTTTCTTTTGTGGGACATAGAGAGGTGAAGTATTTTATAGGTATGGTCCCTATATATTACTCAAATACAGAAGGAAATCAAGAATGATCAGTAGGGAGCAATTTTTCCTCGGCGTAGAGAACTAAGCTAAATTGATTCCATTGATTCCTTCTAATCTCAATGGGCTGCTGAAGCTCTTTTTGGTTGGGGAATAGGAAATTAATTTGAAACCATCTATCAGAGCGAAATATTCACACCCAAATTGGCTATGTGTATTTCTTCTTAATTAGATTGTACATATTTCATGTGCCACACCACTTGTCTCCATCTTTGAAATCTGGAATGTGTTTATATGTTTTGAACCCATTTTCCAAGTTTTCCTGCCTTGAAAATTATTCTCAGTAATAAATGACATCTTTGATGTTGACTTGCTTTCAAATTTATGTTACGTCAAAGCCACTTGAAAGCATTTATCAGCAATTGCCATTTTATTTTTGCCATAACCCATTAAACAATGATAATGTTTCCAGTGCACCATAAGTTTCAACTGAACTGTTAACAAGTACAGCACCAACTCAGTTCCTCTCTGTTAGCCCAGCAAGGTGCAAGTGATGTAGTAGTGACTAAGATGTTCTCCTTACCCCTATGTAGGGAATAGTTGAGTCCTTGGTCTCCTAACTGAAAAGACCATGCTCCCTCTGAAGTAATTAATCAAGTATCCAGTAGGGGAGTTCCAAACCATCTGCCTCTTTTTGGAGACTCCCCACATGGCTCATCACTGTTCTTTTTCTTCTATCTTCCATATGTCATAGGTGAGAGAAAATAGTGTGAGCACCCGAATCCTCAGGGATTATCATCACATTAACCCAGTCATCCTTTGCCCCATTACAAATGTTTTAGTCGAGATTCTTTCATATGCAAGTGACTGAAATCCATTTCAAATTGGATTTAGAAAAAAGTGTGTTGGCTCATGTACCTAAAAATTCCAGGACTTCAAGAATTGCTAGATCCTAGTGCTCAAACAATGGAAGCAAAAATATGTTTCTTATCATATCTTGTCTCTTATTTCCTCTGGCTTGGCTTCATTCCTCAGTAGACTTTCCACACATAGTGATAAGCTGTATTCCAAATAGCTCTGCAAAATAGGTAGAGAAGATTACCATACTCTTTTTATACATGAGGAAAATGAAGAACCAGGCATTTAAATATTTGAGAATATTGCTCAAGACTACATAGCTAGTTAGGTAGGTGACTATATCAGACTGCTCACATCCTTTCAGACCCACATTTTATTATAGTTGTTGCTGGAGAAACAACTACATGCAGATAAAAACCTGACAACACTATGCCTCAATTACACCATGTGTTTCTAACTTTTTCCCTCACTATTTCTCTGATCTCATGAGAGGCCTACCAGCAAATTTGGAGCTGTGATGGAGCTTTGGGAAGGTTTATCATTGCAGATCCAATAAGATCTTAACAAAGGCTGGCTCTAGTAAGATAGACATTAAATAGGAATCTTTTTTTTTTTTTTTGCTTTTAAAAAATATTCAGATTTAATAATTTATGCATTACCATTAAGACACACACATTTCTATTTTTCTTTAAAACAAGTCAGTGGAAGAGCCGGGGACGCCACCCTGAGCCAGCCCTGCGCGGCCTGGGCCCGTGACCCTCAACCCCTACCGCCCAGGCCCCCCCAAGCACAGAGCCAGGCCCACCCTCCCTGCCCTGCCTGTGGCTGCAGCGTGGGGCCGGCCCTGTGGAAGGCCTGGGGGCTCTTCCAGCCCAGGCGGAGCCTTCCACAGGTACCTCGCCTCTGGCCTCACCCCCTAGCCCCCGCCTCACCTGGCAGCACCAGACCCTGCCCCTCTGGAAGAAGTGGCGCCGCAGGACGCAGCTACACACTCCTGGTCGCCTCCGGCCTCCCTTTAGTACAGTAAGAACCACGGTGAGAACCTTCCTCGGCCCTGGTTCTGCCCTGGAGGCTGCTGTGAGGGAAGGGGACCCCCCTGGAGCCTGGGTGCCCCCGCAGGCCCCCACGGTCCATGGAGCTGATCCTCGGGAAGTTGGTCCTTTTGGGCAGCACTTTGATTACCCGGCCTGGGAAAACGCTGTTGTCCGGCTCCACGGCCGCCCGGGCAGAGTGCTCGGTGGCAAATTCTATGTAGGCGTAGCCCTTAGGGTGTCTGGAGAACTTGTAACACAGGATAGTGACTCGGTGGATCTCCCCGCAGTGGTTGAAGTGAGCCTCCAGTTCCTCCGCCGTGCCCCCGTAGTCCACGTTGCCCACGTAGATGGATCTGTGGTCGGCCTCCACCTTCTCCTTGGGGGTCCCAGGGAGGGGGTGGCCTGGCGTCTCGGGGCTCAGCAGCTGTTCAGCCCCCGTGGCACCCTCTTCTCAGGCCCCGGCCTGCCCTCCTGGTGGCGGGGGCGGCCACGTGGCCTGCTGCATGGTGCACAGCTTCAACCTGATGGCCTCCAGCTCCTGGTCAGGCACCGGGAACTCAGCCAGGTGCTCCCACTTCAGCAGGGACAGCAGGAAGCCTGGTGTGCCTTCACCCTGGTCTTCCTCTGCTTCTCCTTCCTTCCTCCCACCCCCATCCCCTGGCCCCAGATGGCTCTTCTCCGTGTCCCCCCAGGCCCCCCAGCCCTGGGCCTCAGGGTCCGAGGAGACTGTCTGGAGCCAGGCCTCTATGGGAGGCGGGAAGAGAGCCCAGCTCAGGAAGGGCCACATGAGCCTGTGGCTCCCTGCACTCACCTCTTGCCTTACTCCCATACACCAAAAATGTAATCAAACACTTAAAGAACAGAAGAGATGTGGCTAAGCAGCATCGTATGTAGAAAGATCGAGAAATTTCAGCTGTTAGCTGAGGCTCAGTGAAAAATTATCAAAGCCGCCACCACTAACAAAAAAGTAAATGTTACATTAAGCTGTGTGAATGAAAATAAACTGTCTATAACAATGGAGGTCATAGTTATATTCTACTCTAAGACAGTCAGGCCAATCTTAAAATAACTTATGAAGGTCAGACATCTACACTTAGAGAAAGAATACAAAGAGAAGGGAGCATCAAAGATGGTAAAAAGGACACAACAAAAAAAAGAAAACTAAAGACGAATATCTCTTAAGAATAAGATTCAAAAATCCTCAATAAAATAGTAGCAAACCAAATTCAACAACACATCAAAAAAAATAATACATGACCAAGTGTGCTTCATCCCAGGGATGCAAGGATGGTTCAACCTACATAAATCAATAAATGTGATTCACCACATAAACAGAAGCAACAGCAATGACCATATGATCATCTCTATAGATACAGAAAAACCATTTGACAAAATCCAGCACCATTTCATGATAAAAACCCTCAACAAACTTGGCATAGAAGGAACAGACCTCAAAGTTATAAAAGCCATATATGACAAGCACACAATCAACATCATACTGAATGGGGAAAAGTTGAAAGCATCTCCCCTAAGAACTGGAACAAGACAAGGGTGCTCACTGTCAGCACTTCTATTAAACATAGTACTGGAAGTCCTAGCCAGAGCAATAGGACAAGAGAAAGAAATAAAAGGTATCGAAATCTGGAAAGAGGAGGTCAAACTATCACATCTGGCTGACGATATGATCTTATATCTAGAAAATCCCAAAGACGCCACCAAGAGACTCCTGGAATAGATAAATAAATTTAGCAAAGTCTCAGGTTACAAAATCAATATACACAAATCAGTATCATTTTTATATACCAATAACAGTAAAGCTGAGAGTCAAGTCAAAGACCCAATGCCATTTGCAATAGCTACAAAGAAAATAAAATACTTGGGAATATATTTAACCAAGGAGGTGAAAGATATCTACAAGGAGGACTATGAAACACTGAGGAAAGAAATCACACAGATGACACAAATTGTAAAACATATCATGCTCATGGATGGGTAGAATCAGCATTGTTAAAATGTCCATACTGACCAAAGTGATTTATAGATACAATGCAATCCCCACCAAAATACCAATGTTATATTTCACAGATCTAGAAAAAATAATTCTATGCCTTTTTGAAATCAAAAAAACCCCAAATAGCCAAAGCAATCTTAAGCATCTACAGGCATCACGTTACCAGACTTCACACTATAATACAAGTTTATAGTAAACAAAACAGCATGGTATTGATAAAAAATAGACACACAGATCAATGGAAGAAAACAGAGAACCAGTTATAAAACCATCTACCTACAATCTTTGACAAAGCAGACAACAGCATACACTGGGGAAAAGAAGCCCTATTCAATAAATGGTGGTGGGAAAATTGGATAACCACATGCGGAAGAAAGAACCAGGACCCCCATTTCCCACAATTTATAAAAATTAACTCAAGATGGATAAAAGACTTAAATGTAAGGCAGGATACTATAAAAATTCTAGAAGAAAAGGTAGGAAAAACTCTTCTACATATTGGCCTAGGCAAAGAATTTATGACTAAGATCCCAAAAGCAATTGCAGCAACAACAAAGATAAATAAATGGGACTTGATTAAATTAAAAAGCTTATGGACAGAAAAGAAAATAATCAACAGAGCGAATAGACAACCTACAAAGTGGGAGAAAATATTCACGAACTATACATCCAATAAAGGACTAATATCAGGAATCTACAAAGAACTCAAACAAATCAGCAAGATAAAGACAAACAACCCCATTAAAAAGTGGACAAAAGATATGAACAGAAACTTTTCAAAAAAAAGATAGACAAATGGCCAACAAACAGGAAAAAATCTCAATGTCACTAATCATCAGAAAAATGCAAATTAAAACCACATTGAGATATCACCTTACCCCTGTTAGAATGGCTTTCATTAATATTGAAAAAGTCCAAAAACAATAGATGCTAGCATGGGTGTAGAGAGAAAGGAACACTTATATACTGTTGTTGGGACTGCACATTAGTACAACCTCTATGGAAAACAGCATGGAGATACCTTAAAGAACTAAAAGTAGACCTACTATTCAATCCAACAATCCCTCTACTGGGTATCCACCCAAACGAAAAGACGTCATTTTATCAAAAAGACAGCTGCACTCAAATGTTTATAGGAGCATAATTCTCAATTTCATAGATGTGAAATCAACTCAAGTGCCCATCAATTCATGAATGAATCAAGAAAATGTGGTATACAAGTACCATGGAGTACTACTCAGCCATAAAAAAGGATTAATTAATGTCTTTTGCAGAAATTTGGATGGAACTGGAGACCATTATCCTAACTGAAGCATCTCAAAAATGTAAAAGCTAACATTACATGTACTCTCTAATAATGTGGAACTAATTGATGTGCACACATGGACACAGAAAGAAGTAAAAATCATTGGAAATCAAGAAAGGGGAGTGGTGGGGTTAAAAACCTACTTAAGTACAATGGACAGTATTTGGGTGATAGGCACACTTATGGCCATGACTAAAGCATTATAAAACATATCCATATTATAGAAACGTGTAATATTTTGAGAGAAAAAAAGAAAAACAAGATGGTAACAAGGTCTTTAGAAAATATGACAATTGAAAAAACTTAGGATGTTTACTGTGCAGAACAGAATAATCTGGGGATTTGGAATGGAGCATATCATTTTTGCCTTTAAGTTATTCAGTTGCTATTAGACAAAATAATAATAATATTGGGTAAGTACTATGCACCAGCTACAGGGCCAACCCCTTTAATAGAACAGATTGATAGCATAATCCCAAAGATAAGTACTAGAAGCAGTGGGTACAAAATCGCAAAAGATATACACTTGCTGAATGTAAGAAAGATCAGTCAAATAGCTATTGTTGTCGAAAGTTGACAAGGACGGACCACGCAGGCAAATAATTTCTTTTTTCTTGAAGGTATAAAAGCAGAAACTGGGATTGGGATTGCTATGGACTGGATTGTGTCCCTACCCCAAATTCATATTTTGAAGCCCTAACCCACAATGTGACTATATTTGGAGATAGAATGTTAAAGGAGGTGATGAAGGTTTCATGAGGTCATAAGTGCAGGGCCCTAACCTTATGTGACTGGTGGCCTCATAATAAGAGGAAGAGACAACAAAGCTCTCTCTGCCATGTGAAGACACAGCAATAAGGTAGCTACCTGCAAGACAGAAAGAAAGCCCTCATCAGAAACTGAACCCTTCTGGAACCTTGATATTCTACTTTCCAATCTCTAGAATAAATTTCTGTTGTTTAAGCCACTCAGTCTATAGCATTTTGTTACAACAACCCCAGCAGACTAAGACACATTTGGGTACTAAGAAATGCAGGTGCTGTTGTAACAATTACCTAAAATGCACAGGCAGCTTTCGAAATAGGTAATGGGTAGAGACTGGAAGAGTTTTAATATGCATACTAGGAATATGAACATTAAAGGTAATTGTGGTAAGATCTCAAATGGAAATGAGGAATAGGTTATTAGTAACTGGATAAAGATGATCCTTGTTATAAAGTGTCAAAGAACTTGGTTGAATTGTATTCCAGTGTCTTGTGGAAGGTAGAACTTGAAAATGATGAAATTGGATACTTAGAAGAAGATATTTGTAAGCAAAGTGCTGGAGGTGTGGCTTAGGTTGTCCTTACTACTTATAGTAAAATGTAATAGGAGAGAGAAGAATTGAAGAAGAAATTGTAAGGCAAAAACGAATCAGAACTTGGGGATTTGGAAGATTCTCAGTCTATCCATATTGGAAAAAACAAAACAAAAAATATTCTAAAGAAAGCACTAAGAGTATGGCTGAACAACCATTTGACAAAGAGATCATGGATGTAACTTATGGACTTAACTGGCCGTCTCCATAGAAGCTAGGAATAGAGATGGGATTACAATAGCAGAAACACTGCCACCTAGGACTATGGAGGACATAAACAAAATGAGATGAAACGAAGGAAGGCTGTCAGACTTTAGATCCTATAGGACTGGACCACAGAGCCATTAGGCTACAAACATGTGCTATTATTGAAGAAAAGGGGAAAATGACCCCCAAGGCAGTTTAGAGACTGTTAGAGCTTTTTCCTCAGTTTCAAAGGGTAGGGCCATCACCTTACTTTCCACAGGCCAGATACCCCTCAACCAGAGCTGTGGGAACAGGGCTGCCTCAAGCTTTGGGGCTGGGATCCTGGCCTGATAGAGCCCTGGAGAGCATGGTGCCATCTGGCAGAGATGCCCCTGTGGGTCAAGAAGGTAGGGTATCTAACCACGGGATTATCCTCACGCTTTAAGATCTAATGGGATTGCTGGATCAAATGGTAGATCTACTTGTATCTCTTTGAGGTATCTCCATATTGCTTTCTGCAGAGGTTGTACTAGTTTACAGTCCCACCAGCAGTGTATGAATATTCCTATCTTTCTGCGTCCACGCCAACATTTATTGTTTTGGGACTTTTTGATAAAGGCCATTCTTACTGGGGATAGTGGTATCTCACTGTGGTTTTGATTTGCATTTCCCTGATGATTAGAGATGTTGAGCATTTTTTCATGTGTTTGTTGGCCACTATTCTGTCTTCTTTTGAAAAGTTTCTGTCCACGTCCTTTGCCCACTTTTTGTTTGATTTTTTTCTTGTTGATTTTCCTGAGTTCTAAATAGATTCTTGTTATCAGCCCTTTATCGGATGTGTAACATGCGAATATGAATGCAGTGTGCACTGTCTGGGGGATGGACACGCTTGAAGCTCTGACTCGGAGAGGGCAAGGGCAATATATG